AAAGACCAGTAATCTAACTATTAACGCGTCCCAGCCCCGCTATCTAGAAGGAGAAGTCCAGGCTTGGTATGGAAAATATGTTCTGCATACAACCAGAAACGAGCGAGCAAGCAAGCAAGCAGCAGCGAACACTCAGACACAATTTTAAACGTATATATATATATATATAAATATATAAAATCGATATTGTCATATTAAATGTTATTTTTAAACATGACTCATTCAGTTCATCACTCGACAGGCATTAGAATATTTAGTCGATAAGTTCATCATGTGACTTCCTTCCAAATATTTAATCGATGAGTCAATCGATATGATAAAATTACAAATATGAATTTTGGGAATATACCGTCCCAACAGTCGTACACATATTTTGTAGAGAGTAAGTTTACCCTCTGTTGTGAAAAAGTTTTTCATTATAAAGTCAATTAGCCGTCTAGATTTAGAAATAATAGAGGAGGCATCTTCCTCAAAGTTCAGGCTTCCTGTGTAATTAATTCCTAAATCGTGTACTGATTCGAGTGTTTGGACTCTACTTTCATTTAAGTGAAGTTGCGGTTTATAGGGACGCTTTCCAAAGTGCATTATCCCGCACTTGTTGAGGTTAAATGGTAATTGCCATTTTTCACTCCATATAAATAAGTTATTGAGGTCCTTTTGGATCTGGGATACACTTTCGCTTAGTGTCTCAGGCTTATAGCCGTATATTATTTTGAGATCATCAGCATATAAGTATGGTCTCCCAAATTCTATGGTGTTGCATATATCGTTTATATACATAAGAAACAAAAATGGACCTAATACGCTTCCCTGGATGACTCCACTAGTGATTGGTTTAGGGGACGAGAGACAGTCATTGTACTTTACCATCTGTTTACGTTCTGTTAAGAACGAAGCAAACCATGAGTACAGTGGGTTGTGTATTCCAAAGGGCTTTAGTTTGACCAGTGGCCTTTTGTGTGGAACCTTATCAAAAGCTTTCTTAAAGTCTAGGAATAGAACTGATACAAGAAGTCCGCTGTCTCGTTTCAGAGTTATATCATTCAGGTAGTCTACTAGGCATGTATCGCATGATGTGGACCTAAGAAATCCATGCTGGGAGGTCGAGATGAGATTATTAGTTAGTAGATGTTGGACTACAGCCGCCTTAACTACTTTTTCCATCACTCTGGATACCACTGAAGTTATGTTTATAGGCCGGTAATTTTCAACGTTTGCTTCAGGTTCTGTTTTAATTTTGGGAATTATATGTGTAGTTTTCCAGGCAGTGGGGTAACACGCTGAAGAGAGTGATATCGCGAATAGTTTGAGAAGCAAAACACACATCTAATGAACACTAATCTATCTGACAACAGTACATGAAAAATTTAATAATAATGTTTCAGTACAATGAAAATTCTCATTTTGACGTTTTGTAAATAAATGTTTTGTTTATTACATTGAAATTCAACGTCAGTATCCCAAAATGTCAAATAATACAGTTTACCTTATTCGAATCAAGCTGAATAATTGAGCTAGAGATTTATTTAGTCAGACGTAGGCTTGTTCATTTAAATTTAATGCAACCAATATTTTAAATACTTGTCAAAAATGGTTATTGTTGTAACTTTTAGATGTTTCGGGTTTTACATTTAAAAAATAATATTCACATGTGACGAAAAATGTACAAACACTATTTTATTGTCCGTCTATTATGGTTAACAAAGGTAAGAGATGATTTGAAAAATAATTCCAGGTTTTATAGGTATTGTCTTCAATGCCATTTAAAAATTCAGATGATGATTTGGCTAGACTGCACAATTACAAAATATTTGCTGTCGACATAACGTGAAAAAATCGAGCGCGCACTTCCCAAACACAATAACCGATTTGTATGACTGCTCATACAGTCAAGAATTTTTCGTCATAATTAAAAACTTCCCAACTACAAAGGTTGTACAGGTGAATGCAACTTACGCTTTTAATGGATTAGCAAAATAACTCATTTACTTTCTAACGTCTTGTTAACAAAACTATTTTTAAAACGAAACTAAACATCTATTTTTTTATTAAGAATCACTGTTTGCAAAATAACCGAATCATAAATAATATTTGCTTTTTTCTGAAAAATCATTACTATTTTATGATAGAGTGAAAGTTTCTTAATTTACCGACCCTTTACGGTTAGCGTGATTAGTACATGCTCTATACATTATTTTATCATGATGATTTATTGATATGTTGACACGCATATAACTTTTATTAAAATAACACACCATGTGTTAGAAACAAACTAATGGAAATACTTAGATGATAATTTGTATACTAAACATTTGACTACTTTTCAGCCTCAATAATTACTATTATCAACTATTAAATGCCGTTATCAGTTTTTCCAAAACTCATATAATGATATACATATAATTTCTCTTGTCACGATAACTAACAACTTCATTTCCACTTCTACATGATTGAAAAGACTTTATCGTGATATACATTACTGACAGGAGTATCTCAGTACATTAAAATGGAGTTGATGTATTTTTTTCAGAAGTTAAAACTTTTATCAACACTGAAATGGAACAGTCGGACACAACTATTTCTTCTGAATAAAATTCGAATGCAAAATGCAAGTTCTCACATCCAATCAAAGTATTCGGTGCTATTTCGACTTCAACTAACCAGGCTCAAATGATGCAAATTTTACGGCCAATAAAAAGAATCGATACAGGTGACATAATGTTTTTCCATTATCACTTGAACATACACATTCAAAAACAAGTTCACCAACCACCAATTCCAAAACTTTTCATCACACCCCATAATTTTTAATCAATAGGTGGTAGGGGATCACAATGGCCGTGCAACTAATATCAACCTCCGTAGTCCATCTCGTCTAATTGTCCTACGCCTCTGTAGTTTTGGCTTGACCATCAACAGGTAATGATCTGGAGTTATGTCAACCCTTCTTTTCACAAGTATATCTTCTATGAACCTCCTGAGTGTTTCATCGACGAATACATGGTTGATATGGTTTATTACAATGCGATTCAGCGGAACCCATGTATCTTTAAGTATATTTTTATGAAAGAAAAGGGTGTCACCTATGGACATATTGTCTAAAGCTCGGAGTTTTTCATGACTCGACTGGTTTAGTATCTCATTCGTTAATCCAAGCTATGAGTTATTGACCGGGCCATTAGGGTGAACGTCAGCCTGCTTCCTTAGAATAAATACTCATGCTGCGGCCAAATCATAGATCATACTGAGTTGAGCCGAAGGCCTTTATTTAGGCAGAAAATTTTCTACATTCCCCGCATTAAGGCGTGGTCCCAGATAAGTGAGGGTTAACATATCATCTCAATCTTCAGGAAAGATGGAGGAATGATACTTCGAGTTGGCAAAATGTGTCTTTTGTTTCAGTACTCTATAGAGTTAAGGGATTTCTAGTTTATGATGGTTCACATACAACCGTCTCAATGGTAAATTTATTTACATCGCAAAGTACGATTTCACGAGGAGCCACACCCATGTCACCAATCTGCTAACCGTGGTAGATAGCTGGATCATTATCCTTAGTCTCAAAACTAAAGAGTATGTTACGTATCTTGACTCCTTAAAAGCTTTTGATAAAACTAGTAGTCAACAACGCCAGAATAACATGTATTCGGTCGCAGTTGAGACTGGTTTAAGCAATTTGAATAACCAGTCATTTAAGGACAGAGTAAATTATTCATTTCCGTTGGCTACGGGCTATCTTAATTTTCCCAGGGTACAGTATCAGGAATTTCAGATTTTTACTTCACACAAACCACACATCTCACCACCCACCTATTAAAGTATTACTGTTTGGAGGTCTAAACCATTTGGCAGCAACCCAAAGCATCAAGGATATACTACTGTATCAAGATCATACTCCGTTTCACAGCTCCAAGGTCAACCGTAAACTAAATTCCAACTTTGCAAATTGTAAAGCGGTTTATCTAATACATGTTAAAATATACATTTACAAACCGAAAAGTTCAGACTGAAAGGAATTAGTTTAAAAATCCTAACTATTGTAGTTTCTTATAACCTAAAATCATATGCCAACCGTGATAAGAAAACCTTCAGAGCAATACCTTGATGTGGTATATTTGAAGCGCCTTTCTGGAAGACTGAAAGTAAACCTTCTATATGGATTCCAATTTTACTTAAGCCAAAACTTGAGCATGGAAGTATTTTTTTACCACTCAAACGTATGGGTCCACCATATAATATCGGAAATCTAGCCGCAAAAGTTAACTAAAAGCCCTGAGCTTAAGTCTTAAGAGAGAGGTCTCGAGACGCAAAATTTTTACATTCCAGAAAGTAGATTCCCTGGCAGCAATCTACAGAATCCTGAAAGCCTCCAAGCACCCTCTGGATAACCCAACTAAATTCACTTTCAACACAAATTATAAGGGGACTACATAAAAGCTATAAGAAAAACATAGTGAACACAACTGTAATGTAGGGTTGGCGAAATGCAACCGAGCCGCAACCAAAACGTCCAACAGTTGGTATTCACTCGCACAACAAAAGTAACGAAAGTAGCAACTAATCAAAAAGTGTAGTTTTCTTTTATAACTGGCAAAAATAAACAGCATGGGATTATTTATGCACCTTGATTGTGGTTACAAAAATTGTTGAACTACAATGTCACTGCAGTTGATTCCAGTTTCACACCTTTGTTTCTCTGAAATATTGCCCGTTGCCTTCTATGCGCTTGATTTCCTCTTGCACTTTTCTCTCTCAGAATGTGTTGAAAACACTGTTTCTCATAATCCATCAGCATGCGAATTATTTTCACGTTAGACGCGAACCTATACATCGTACTCACAGACATTAGAACCATTTACAGTAGCTTCTAAATTAGTTTTCGACGTCGAAATAGGAAAGAATTATAATGCTTCCTAGAAACTTACAAAAATTGAAACTTTTGCTTGAAATATACTCTCAAGCTTCAAGGAATCAATTAGAATAACCTCATCCTTCATAAAGTTGTTGTACATCGGGTGTTCCTTGTTTCCTCACACCACATTCAAATATTACTTTCAGGCCAGTCAGATTTGATATTCCCGTTCGGCGGGGTTTTGATTAAAATGGTTTGGTTTTAAGTGTTCACGTTCTCATCTGTAATCTTTTAGGAGGTGTCGAAATCTGATGTTGATAAGCCCTTTAAACTAAACGGTCTTTTTCTTGCCCCAGATGCTTCTCAGTATATACTATCAATTGTCCAACGTGTTGAGCCTGGAAAACGACAAAAGGTTCTTCGTAAGCTGGTAGAAACAATCCTTAAGCAGAAAATTGATAACAACAGAATTACAAAGGCACTGTGTGAAGCAGCTATCAAAGAGTGTCGAGCAGAGCATTCTACAGATAATATTGTCCTATACGTCATTGATGCTTTTTCGGTAGGATACTTCAGTTCGCTTTCATGTCTTTATAGGTTCCGTACTTTCGTTTCTCCAAACCCCTGAAGAAGTTTGTCCCATTTGTGCCTGCTGATTCATCAGAGAGTCGTTTAATATTTCCAGTGTCACCAGATGCAAAGGCTTTTTTGTACGCTCATCGCTACGAGGTATTTCGACGTTTTTGATAGGTATCTAATAACCTTAGTTACATATCTGCAAGCTTGTTTGTATTCATATCCACAAGGGATACCAGGTGCCGAAGTTATATTTCAGTTAAAAAAAGATCACACCACGTAATTCGTTAGACTCTGTTGACCCATAGCTGTTGCCTTTCTTCGTTCCATAGTGTTTCTAAAATTGAAAAGCAGAAAACAAATATTTTCCACTCTACATCACCAGAAGGTATATTTGTAATGTAAACAGAATTCATAGTAGATTAATCTGCTATTTTCCTCTTGTTTCTGGAACTTATTGATACTGCGAACTGAAGATCAGGGTTTTATAACTTTTTGAATTTATGAATCTAACCTAGGATTCAAAATACTTCATTTGTTACATAAGTGCAGCAACATCACTGCAAGAAGTTATAAACATAGTGTCATAATCAACATAGAGCTTAGGATAACGTATAATTCAAGGAACGACAGTTATCCTTTTCTGTACCAAGAGAATTGTAATTTAGGACATCCAACCACATATTTAGCGGGACCAAGTACCTTCTACCAGCATAACCTAGTGGTATACGTAAAGCACCAATTTAAGTGGATTTGTTCCCATGAGAATTCAAAACAGAAGTTATGTTATGAAATACTTGTATGTTCACTAATTGGGCTGATGTTTTAAACGTTTAGAGTACATAAACGTGTAGGACCTCTCTTAAGACAAACTAATTTGAGTGTGTAGGCCTGTTGCGGTGTAAGTTAAATCAATTCCAGTCGTTTGTCAAGATTATATATATGTCAATTCCTTTCCTTGCTGTTGTGCACTCAGTAGTTGAGACGATAACAGTATCTTGTAGTTTGGTTGAGTCATTCTAGTTAAGGGTCCTAAAACAAAACTGAGGAAGTAGTCACGTAATTACTTACGCCTGTTACTCATAATGGAGCATAGGCCACGTAAAATCCATATAATATTAGAAGCATATTTTGTACGTATTTCCCACTCTATTCCCATTTTTGTTTACTGTTTAGCCAATAACATGTGATTCTTATACTCATTGGATATCGAACCACCTATGTATTTATTTATGTGCACACATGAATATTGGTACAAGGGAGCACTAAATGCATATGCATCACACAGTAACAGTGAGGCTAGTGGTAGTTATTATTGATTTATATGAGGACTGTGATACTACCCGTGTAGCCAGACCGACACAGGTGTTTCTTAGGAGGCCACACCCGGAGCCTTCGACATAAAGGTCTGATCCACAAGACAGTGGAGCAACGTCAGGAGATGCAGTCCCATGTTAACCAATGACCGACAATAGGTTCATGCGCCTTTTATTCCCTCAGGATCCTGGAGTCCATGTACACCATTAGTTTGCTATCAGGGTTTCCCAACTCCCCTAGGTGGGTCCTCCGTGTACACCAACCCGGTTGAAGCTCCGGACATTCTCTTTTCATCCTCTCAATTTTGTGAATAACTAATGCCGCTCAAAGTTAGTGAGTAGGACTTGCCTGGCAGTGGCTGGGACGTTCAGTTTAAAGTTATTCCAACACAACTTATCATTTGTCCACATGTATACTTTCTGGATAATAGAGTGATGGTCAATTTGTGGTACAATGGTTTTAAAATTAAGGTTAGTTGTGTTTCTGTTGATACATCATAACATTGGTAAAGTTTGAGGAAACATTTGGCTAGTTTGTTAACCAAACACTCAGTTGCAGGTTGTGATCGCACTTCGTTCTAGGCTGTAGGAATAAAATAAGTGTTATACTAAAGCAGGTGTAATTACCTATCCTCATTGTAAACTTAGGAGTTTTAAATTCATTTTCGTAACACATCGTAAGTGCGCATTTCTAAATATCCCTAAATTAGGGGAAAGTAGCTACCTAGTTATCCCAGGCTTCTAATAGTTCTACAGCTGATATCACCGCGTGATGTTAACTATCACATTGATGAATTCACTTGCAAAATATTAGTAGTTTCCTTCAAAATCTATGTGCGAACTTTATCCAGTCAATTGTTATTGCTCTCTATATTTATATAAATTGTACAGGAACATTCACCATTACTAAAATAGTTTTAACAGTATATATTTTTTATGTTTGAAAGGAACTCATATGCTATACCGTATAATTGCCTTCAGATGTTTGGGCTCTTACTGCTTTTGAAATCTTGTAATTTGAGTTACTCAGCATTAACAAAGATGATGATACCTAGCGTAATTTATATATATTAAATAGCTAGTTTTCTAAGATTCTCATCCTCCCAATTTTTAAAAAAATCTGCATTTTAGGTTATATATCAGAGAATTTCGCGGCATCAATTATTCTCTCAGACAGCTGCTTTGGATGGGTCTCATAGTACAAATTATCGTCTTAGACCGATTGAATATTTACTTGCTTCTGGATCAAGAATAGATTCAGCTGTTGTATTAGGACTAATCAGTCAGCTTCGTGAAGGTAAATGGTATGCTGAAGATCCATCAGGGATAGTACAATTGGATTTACAACAAGCTATTTTTCATGAGGTGAGGTTTGCTAAAATATATGTATGCAGACAACATGAAATGGTCTAAAACAATTATTGTCTAAAAATTGATATTAAAAATGTTCACGACCTAGAAAATCAACTTTTTTCACTCATTTGTCGTAGGAAATTGTATACCGTTCTTATTTTTTCATCAGTGTTTTAATTTGGTTTTGATCTTAAATATAAAATAGTTTCAACATGTACTATATGAACTCAGATTAGGTTGTTTGTAATGCTAGTGTCTTCTCAGTAAACATTACTTATCCAGATAATTCATAAAAACATATCTCAGTATTCAATAAATAAATAAAAGTAAGATTTTTGTATTGTAGTTATTTTACTGTCAGTTATTCTGAGATCTAATCGGTTTTTCTTTCACATATATTATTCTGTTTTCTTTCATATACCAACCTATATTTGGTTATCGGCTATCTTGAGAAGGGATCTCCTAGAGTTGCTCTACTGCCTTTTGGACTAGACCTCTAGGCCAAATTCATAGAGTAACCTAAGCACACCGTCGACTTCCATTTGGGCACTTGGGTAATATCAGCCCAAATATAACCATGATTAGTGCAAAATATATTTTCAGATACCAGTTTGTAGTTTGTAATTATGTAGAATTTTCTACATTTCTTGGCTTGCAATTTTGGCGAATATGTAACAATGTACGCCAAACAAAGACTTGATGCTCACTCGGTATACTTCTCTACTAAATATATCTTCAGGTCCATATAATGTATAGTAATCATTTAATGGGTTAAAAATGGACAGATTCTGTAGTTGGAAAGATTGCATTAAACAACATATAAGCCCCACGTTTTGTAACACTAAGAGTTCTGTACAAAATCTATTTTCGTTGACTGTTATTTATTGGTTATCCACAAACTGCACAATTTAGTAGTTCCATTTTCTATCACAAGCTGTTTTTTGAAATTTTCCGTCAAATAATATAAGCAAACTGCATACCCGAGTATTGTTTCACGATTTATTTATTCTTCACTGATATACAGTAAATTTTTTCTTTATTTGACGTAACAAATCCTACCTCTTTTAAGGCTTTTTGACTGTTTGATACTGAATTCTCCCAAAACGTTTGTAATGCAAATCTTGATTTATATGCTGCAATTATGTTACTAAATAGTAGTTTTGTTAATCAAATCTGTAAAAAGGCAAAGAGTGTTAATGTTAGTCTTAACTAAAAACAGTACCATTTTAAACCTAACTAGACTTTTTTATGACTGTTTTATTGCTTGTTAATACAAATAATTATCATAACATAGATTTTTACTTACTCTGTGAACTGACCTTAGTTAAACAACTATTGAGAATCATAAAACACTGTGTTGGGCATATATGATCTCAAATGAAAAGTTATTAGAAGCGAATCAATATAGATTAAGTTGCGATTATCTCACAGCAAATTATTGTTTGGCGTGAACTCATGGAATTACAGTATATTTTCACGATGATGTGTGCGAATGAAAAATACTTAGTTTAATTACTCCAATCATTTTTCCTAACTGATGTATGATTTCGATTAGTTTTTATTTCGTTTCAATGTCAAAAAACTTCATCTACAAAACTGATATTTTTATCTTAGTTGGGGGAGGGAATGAAAGAGGGTAGAAGCAGTTTTTCACGGTATTGAAATCAGAGTCGTGAATTATCGCCATAGCACACAAACATATCACACTAGGCAAGTGTTTTGTTTTGTTTTTGAAATGTTCAACTATGCGGACTCACAACCACACTGGGGATCAAACATAAGATGTTTAGTATCACGGCGAGATTGTAAACGTAAGACCACTTAGTCGGTACCCAATGATTTTTATTTCTAACTCCAACCAATTCACGATTTTGCATATCTGTCTTGTAATGTGATTAGTAGATAACATTCAACATGGTTGAAATCCACTGGTCACTGCTTTTTACGGGAATTACTCTTTGGAATTCGTGCAACATTGCATTACTCTCCAGTACTCTCGGGTTGTCAGTATTTTTCTAAGATCAGTTAGAGATGTAAATTGTGAGGCTCAACAATCTCTACAAACCATTCTACAACATGGATTTCAGTTTTGTCAGGAAGTGATACTGTTGTTTCTTAATATATATCATTTGACTAGTCTCTAACTGAGACAGTTCAATTTATAAAATTCACCTCACGAATATATATACATACTTTTTTTCTCAGTTGACACTATAATAAAAGTATATGGAAATTGATCTTTCCTCACTTAGGTAACTTCTGGAACCGACAAATATATGACTTAGGCGAATGCCCATTTCATGTTGGACAAAATGTGACAATCATTACTCAGTGGTTTGCTTAATCTTATGAATATCTCATACGCGTTCAGCAAACACATCTATAAATGTCTGGAACTTGTAATTTTCTCTCATTACTGTGAACCTGGCTCTGAAACTAAAGCTACTTTTGCATTAAAAAAGCCAAGTGAATGTAGTATTCCCAGTTGCTTGTCAAGTGACGGTAAACAAGATAGATTGTTCCAGATAAAATTCTGAGTAGTTTCTTTTAATGATTAATATTTTCAGAGTATTTTTTTGTGTAAAGTATACTGCATTTTATTATTTGCTGTCTAGGGACTACTCCCTGAAGGATCCATCGCACTAATTGAAGGCTTTTATGATGATAAAATATTATACGTCACTGGTATTGGTCTTCCACCTTGTGAATCATCGGAAATTTCACGTCGTGCTTTTTCTGTCAGTAATCCATTCGGTGGTTGTGATACTAATGATTCCCCTGCAGCATCCTTAGATACGAAGATGCATAAACTCTTGACAACTACTCAGGTAATTATTTCATAATCCATATAACTCACAAATTTAATTTGTTCAGCAGTATGACTTGGATTTTGTATTACGAGTTTATTGCGCTTAGCCTTACTATTAAATCATAGATGACAAAGACCTTGGTATGAATATGCGTTGGCTTACTTTTACTATATAAGCATAATTAGATGAAATTGAAAAGGTGAATAGCGAAGGAGTTGAAATAATGTAGTAGCAATGATAATGAGGGATACTAAGCGTTGAAAATACTGCTTTTAAATCAACCTATCTGGTATAGTTAGGACCTAAAGGAATAAATGTTCTATCCAATATTTCTTGATTAGGTCATCATGATATCTCACATTTAAGTCAATGTTGTCGGGAAAGAAAACAATCTTGGATTGGAAGGATGTTATACACTTCATGATTTTTATAATAATAATACTAACCTTTCATTCGTCAACTAATTTATCGATACTAATTGGAATAGGAGATAAAAGTCATTGTTTTCATAATGAAATGTGTTAAAGTTATTGATTTTCACCAAAAATTATCAGGTTAAGAAAATGAATGTCTTAAAAAAAACCTCCCCAGAATGGCTTAAATGTAACTGATATAATACTGTAATATTCAGGTTTCATATTCAGTCAATAAATTAGTCATTTCTCGGTTCATGTTGTTCATTTAAACAGATTTTTTTCTCATAATAATGATTATTCCAAAAATATACTGTTATCCGCCATATTATTGATTCCATCTTTTAGGCTGGTTCAGATGCTATGCTTGTAATATTGGGAGAAACTCATCTGGACAAACCAGATACTTTAGACCAGTTGACTACTCTTTTCAGTGGTTATTCATCGTGCGCTCCAGTTGCGTTTATATTAAGTGGTAATTTTCTAAGTGCTGATTCCATCGGAAAGACGTGCACCGAACGTGTAAGTAATGGGTTATTTTCTACGTAGATAAATTTGTAAAACCTCAATTGTACGGATTCGAAACTTTTTATTATCATTCATTATGATTTGAATGAATGCTTCCATATCAGAGCGAAATAAATTCATCTAGACCAACTTCAAATGGTTATAGTCTAAACCTAAAGGAAAAGTGTTTAATTTTGTCTTCCGGTTTCGTAGCTCAGACAATTTTATTCTTGGCAAGCAACAACTTTAAGCACAAGGAGAGAGATCTGACATGGAAACGTCAGAACGTCAATGATAGACCATATTGTTAACAACCAATGTAGAGGCTTAGTAGAATACCGACCATTATGGGGTACATGTTCAGATTGATCCGCATTATAGTTCGAGCACGCGTTTGCTTGCATCTTACTAGATATAAAAAATCCACAACAAGAAGACCTCTTAAATTATACCCCCAACGGTAAAAAAGAAGTGTATAGAATTCTAAATAATGTTTTGAAAGTGACTTGAAGTTTATCACGTTTCATTGGTTTAATTCTATTCAACGGGTGGCTTTTTCTATAGTTTACAACACATACTAATCCTAGCTAAACCATCAATGAAAATCAGAAAACACTAGACCGCTGTTTCATGCTAGTATGGAGTGTCTCCAGAATACTCAATCATAAATAATAGTTGATTTTATACAGCATAATTTTTGAGTATATGAAGTACTGGTTGAATGTGTTGTTTTTTAAAAACTTTTCCAATTTTTGGATGATAATTTACAGTGGAATACAATACACGCGTTTCGTCCTATTTATGATTCCTATTATATGTACCGACATCCGAATGTTGATGTTCACACTTGAACTTGAACCTAATACCTTTAGCCGTAAATACCAAAACGTAATTCACCTAGCAAATTTGTCCAGATAGACGCTAAATTACTCGATGGATATGATGATTATGTTTACTATTAATAAGGGCTTGAATTGTCCTGCTGCTGTTATTCAGGATTATTCAAACCCTCATTAAGAATGATTTAAGTTGTATTCCAGAAATGTTTGTTACAGGCAGCTAATTTGCTTTTTATTTAAAAATTTTGTTATGAAACAGATACTTCAATTGCACATCTGACTGTTCATAACAATAAAAAAATATTTCACTTGGCTAATATCTATTGGTGTCATTCATTCTACGGGGTTTTCTTACACCTTGATTATAGATTTGTGTTGATTACAGTCTTTCTGTCTTAAAAATATATGTGCATCTATTTTGACACCGTATACTGAATTTTTGTTTGTTAAATTTTAAAGGATCCATAAAACGAAAATGTAGTACTGATAATTCTATTTTCAATTAGAGGTTAATTCTACGAAGATTATTACGACAATTAATCACAATTTTCAAGAATAACTTTCCAGATTCAGAGTCTCAACAAACCTCTCAATCCAACCAGTCACCAAAATTGATACTGATTCCTGGTCCTGAAGATCCTGTCTATGCTCCGAAGCATATTTTACCACGACCTGGTTTAGGCATTGATTTAATTTCTGATAATAAAGATCGTTCCCCATCTAGTTGTCCACCGTGGCTACATTTAGCATCAAATCCATGTCGACTGCGTTTATACACTCGTGAAATTGTTATTTTCCGTGTTAACTATAGTCGTCTATTAGTTAGACACTGTATTCATCTACCCACAGTAAACAATTTGGATTCGTATGTTGGAACAAGTGAAAAGATTGAAAGTTCTATTTCAACAGAAAATTCTGAGGTAAGAATTATTCAATTGTTATATGTATACAAAATACACTTATAGTGGTTTTAGTAGAATTTCATTCAATAAGAAGTTACGAGTAAATAGCAACTAATAACTACGAGTCTAAGTGATTATTGTCGAATGAATTTTTCAATACTTTTTGTATGTGGCTGACTACTGTTCAATTACAGATTTATACAGTGTTCACATTATTGATGTCTCAAATTGTCTTTCACTGTCCTATATTCATGATCACATGGAAGATTTACTTGTCTATTTATGAAGCTTTGTAAAAAAAACGTTCAAGAAAGCCAACCGGTGTCAAAGAATTAAGTCTGCCATTATTTTTTCTATGTGCTAATTTTCCCCATAGAATATCGTTTCGTGAATGCATATTACACATTGCCACTTCTTTTTACATTTCAGACGGCGGTTGATATGGATAGTGAGGCAGTTGCTACCACTAGTAGTAGTGCTTCATCAATAAAACAAGATACTACTTCAAAGAAGCATAAAACATCAACGGAATATTTAGGTCAATGCCTTGCACGTTGTTTAGCTAGTCAAGCACATCTCTTACCACTTTTAGGTCATATAGCACCTGTCTATTGGTATTATGACCAAGCTTTAAGTTTAAATCCATTGCCTAATTTAGTTATCGCTATTGAACCGGAACCATTAGCCAATTTGAATGCTTCACAACCAGGATTAGTGACCACTGGTAATTGTCGTTTTATAAATCCAGGTCGATTTGGTCATATGGAATATTCCAATGAATTGTCAGGCCTCCAGAAAAAGTATACTTTCAAAGTTTATTATCCAAGAACTGAAATTGTTGAAGACAGTTGTTTACCTTAAATATTATTGTATATTTTTCTTCTCAAAAATGTATATTTTATAACAGAAAATTAATTATTAATAAAAAGTCATTTTATTTTCAGATTTTATCTTATGTTTGGAAATTGAGTTGTCTGATTATTTTGGTGAGAATTAATAAATTTTAGGTTGTATTCCTCACAGATATTGCTTCGTTTTAGTACAAGGGCCCTCGGTAGCGCGCGCTCATCTCCTTAATCAGTAATCAAACCCAGAACCTTCAAGTCTCTGGTACAGGTTCAAGTTTAATCAATTTACGATATAACATGAGGATCATCCAATACAATTAATCGCAACTGTTTCACATATGAAATGTCTAATATTGTTACGACCTCAGGAGCACCAATAATATGAGCAGTTATTACCGTTTTTCTAACAATGAGATTTAATAGTTGTGGTATCCTTAGATTACAATCAACGTCTAATTTACTAACAACGACTGATAAGTTATTCATGAGCATATTACCTCTAGTGTTGTGAATGAGAACTCGGTGACAACCGGTTTTTTGTTTAATACAAAATTACAGAACCATAAATTGAATACATAATTTGCAAATTTCCACCATGGCCCTGACAGGTTTACTCCTCAGATTTTTAAGGATGGTGGTCCAGTATTAGCAATGAGGTTAACCGAGGTCTTAGGTAGAATTTGGGAACTGGACGTAATCCCATCTGACTGGTCTCAATCACTGATTGTGCCAGTCTATAAGAAAGGACAAAAGTCCTCTTGTGACAATCATAGAGGAATCAGTTTGACTAATATAGTGTCTAAAATATTAGCTTCAATAATACTTCGACGCTTAACCAAAGCTCGTGAAGAACAGACTAGAGAAAATCAGGCCGGTTTTCGACCTGGACATGGTTGTATAGACCAAATATTCACACTACGTCAGGTTCTAGAACACAGACACACGCTTAGACGCCCCACGATGGTAGTATTTCTCGACCTTAAGGCGGCATTCGACTCTGTTGATCGTGAGGTTCTATGGCAGTGTTTGTCACTGAAAGGAGTACCAAAGAAGTACATTAACCTTATTCAGGCTCTCTACTCGAACACAACTGGTAGAGTGAGAGCTTATGGCGAACTGTCATCAGAATTGATTACCTCAAGTGGTGTTCGTCAGGGCTGTCCACTCTCTCCATTCTTGTTCAACTTTGTTGTCGACGTACTTTTAGAGATAACACTCTCCTCATCTAAATTTCCAGGGGTTGAACTTCTACCGGGAGGTTCACTTGTTGACTTAGAATATGCTGATGACATAGTTTTATTTGGCGAAGACGCTGACAAAATGCAGAGTCTTCTGACCACTCTAAGCAACAATGCAAGCATGTTCGGGATGCGATTCTCTCCCTCGAAATGCAAAGTGTTGCTTCAGGATTGGGTTACATCGACACCCGAACTAGTGATAGGGAGTGAAGTAGTTGAGTGTGTCGACCGCTTCACTTATCTTGGAAGTCTCATCAGCCCTTGTGGTCTGGTGTGTGACGAAATCTCAGCACGGATACAGAAGGCTCGACTAGCTTTTGCCAACTTGCGTCATTTATGGCGTAGGCGAGATATCCGTCTATCAACCAAAGGACGGGTTTACTGTGCAGCAGTACGTCCCGTCCTACTTTATGGCAGTGAAACATGGCCGGTAAGAGTAGAGGATATTCGTAGACTACTAGTATTTGATCATAGGTGTCTTCGAAATATTGCTTGTATATCCTGGGACCATCGAGTAAGTAATGCAGTTGTTAGGAAACGGGTACTAGGTAAGGATGGCAAATCAATTGATGAAGTGGTGAAACTTCATCAGTTGAGATGGCTGGGACACGTGTTACGTATGCCCAACGACCGACTGCCTCGACGTGCGATGTTCAGTGGTATGGGAGTAGATTGGAAGAAAGCTAGGGGCGGCCAGACCAAAACATGGCTCAAGTCCATGAAGTCACTGACAAGTGGTCTGAGTCATGTTGATAGGTATAGACTACCTGGTTGGGGACCGCGAGATGATAGCAACCGATGGTTACAGACCCTGAATGACATGGCTCAAAATCGTTTGCAATGGCGCAGGTGCATCCACTCTTTGTGTTCTCCCAAATTCTAATCTTCTGAATTCTTCATGTCCCTTTTTTCCTCTTTCCAAAAATCATTTCACTGAATTATACTCTTTAAATAACATCTCCAAACCCTAATCTTCCCGATCACTGCTTACACTCTTGCTACCTCTACCACTACGGGATTTGGATCGACAACTGCATCTTTGTGTTAAGGTGGTGTGGCAACTCGAACTGATGTACATACGTAAAAGTTCTACGTTGTTACTGACTGACTGAAATTTCCACCATTTGTCCTTCGCATTCTGCATGATTCTTTAAATTCACAGTTCCTTTCTATTTTCCAGTCTATTCCCTTCAACTCAATCTTCTTAGCCTTCTGCCGGGTTTTCGACTTCCGACTAGCGTTACATACTACTTATGCCGACAGACATAGATAACATGCACCACACTGGTAGTATTTTCCTCGGTTGAAGCGTTAAAGTACTGATTATTAAATGATATTAAGTCATTTCACGGTTCTTTCAATTATTAAGCAAGGCCTATCACAGTTGCATAGAAAAGAATGTGATTTTGTGGGAATGGGGTGTGAATATTCAAAAACCACGATCATTGACGAAATGTCTGCTTAGACGATGGCATAAATTAATAACTAGGTCCTGATACCCAATACGCTAAGTGTAATGATCCATCTGCAATGTTTGACAGGAAGTTATGCACGTGATCTACTTGTAATAAGCCTCATCCTGAGGCAGTATACTTAACAGGGATTCGATGCATTTGTTCATGATACCGATGACAAGTAATATACTGACTTGCCACTTTTTACAAACGGCAATACAATAAACATTAACATTCACCAGTGCAGTATAATTTAGCATGTTTATTCCTATCTTACATATATTATTCATACGAGTTAATTCTCTAACCAAATATTAACGCTATAAATTCATATTACTTTTTATATACGCATATTAGCTAGCTCATGCTCACATGTTTATCTGCAACGCATATGCATGGTATAAGTATTTTGTTTTACCTTAAAGGACAATATCCCAGTACCGTACATTTACCTCTCAATTATAATAAAACCATACTTAAAGCAGTTTTTCCCAGTTGTCTGTCAAACTTTTTGGGATATCCTTCGAGTATGATATGTTTTCCAAAATATTAATCGACAAAAAAGTAGTATAATTTTGTAAAGAATAATTCGTTTAGATGTTTAATATTATCTTGTATTTCTCATTTACTAATGTAAAATACAAAATAAAAACAATCATTATTGTGTTCAAGAGTTTAATCACAAAAACAGGGAAGAATTGTATGTACATACATTTACAAAGAGTTAATTTGTAGTTCACATGCCATAATTAATTTCAAGAAATCTGAATTGTATGGTCCTTATACATTTAATATCCATATTTAGCATTAAGAGAAGTGATACCATCCCCACTTTGATCTGAAAAATCCAAATAAAATAATAGTAAAAAACAAATACTTAACAAATGAAAAGTGGACTTTGTTTAAACTTATATGGAAGTTATTCTTTTGTCAACAACCATATACTAAGTCTATAAAACAACAAAACATCTCTATTTTTTGTTAAGAATAAGTGATTAGCCTAGAAGGAATGGGTTATACAGATTCGTTTGTAATGTGTCTAGTATCGAACGGGAAATTGATAGGACGGAAAGAAAAGTTAACTTTCGATTGATTTACTCATTATGAGTTATTGTTTAAGATTACTTCCGTTTTGACTCAATGTAATGATTACTTCATGTAGTATTGGTTTTCTATTCTCGTATGATATTTTATTCTGTATAATATACGATATTCTTGTATTCCATCGACATGAATTATGCTCAATATGTGATTTGTTATAACTAAGTATTTTCACCTAGGCGATCTGTCTCTAGACCACGGGAGATTGATAACCCCGACTTGTGCTGGTATCATAACCAGTATGGAAAGTTCTCCAGAAATTGCAGAAAACCCTGCAATTTTCCCAACTCAAAATCGACCGACTCAAAAAACAACTCGGGAAACTTCCAAGCCGGCACGCGTTAACGGCAACCGTAGCCGGGGAACATAACCGTCTGTTATACGTCACAGATGTGATAACGAAAGTTCGCTACCTCATCGATGCCGGCGCAGAAGTTAGCGTTCTTCCAGAGAATTGTAACGACCGGCTTCATGATACGATGGAAAAAAGTCAATTTTCGATTGATTTACTCATTATGAGTTTAGTTCAAGATTACTTCCGTTTTGATTCAATGTAATGATTACTCAATGTAGTATCTGTTTTGTTTTCTCGTATTATATTTTATTCTGTATAATATACGGTATTCTTGTATTCCATTGACATGAACTATGCTCAGTATATGATTTCATCCTAATTATTAGTCAGTGTGTGTACAATCAATATATAAATGAGTGTATTTTCGACTAGAGTCGTCATCGTCATGTTTCGGGGTTGATAAATCATCACTTATACCAGTCTTTGTATTCTTACTTTCGCGTCGTTGGAATTGTAGAGGTCCTTCGTTCCGAGTATAAGTGATAAGCGTTTCCGACATAACAATCAGCGACGACCAGATACAAAAAGTAGCATTAAAAGATCCCAGACAATAAGCATTCAAACAACAAATTATAACAGAAATGTAGAAGCTATACATACATCGAAGGCTCGTTTACACAATGGAAACAGTGATATTCACTGGTGACCTACAGCTTCGTCAAAGTTTTTCGACGATGTTGTACTTTAAGATGTGAGTTGTTTCAGTCATGCTCCTCTTAAAATTTTTGGTTTCCCAACCATTTTTTGCTGATTTGGAAGGCATGGATCATTACATCTACTGGGAAGGGTTCTGTGTTCAGTTTTTATTGGTTTTGGCGGATCTGAATTCCATGCCTCATTTCACACGCTACTTGCAAAAACAGAATATTTAACGTTTGATTACTAGTTTTATTTACTGTCTGGTAATTAAACTAACAATATATTTTTGAATCTATTCGATAAGAAG